TTGATGATTGGTTAGTTTTTGACCAGTGTTAAAGTAACCAATTGAGAATGGTATACTTATAAATACCCATTGTTATTGGTTGATTTAACCAATAATGATTAAATGGTTGATAATTTCACGGCAAGTCCAACAGGTCAAAAGAACCAAAAGGAAATTGGTTAAAACATATTTTTTGACTTATTTAACTAATTAATTTTTCATAATCAAGATTTGTTAGATCAAAGTTCATCGGAAGGAGGTGACTCTTTAAAGATTGAATACATTGCATGGCTGGAAAATCCAGTGGTTTCACATGTTGAATAAGTTGATTGGTAATTTTCATGTTCGAAAACCAAACGACTTATCATAAGAGAGATGCTCTAAATATGATGGCGTTTAGCGTTTTCTTTATGTCAGCAGTGAAGCATTGTAATTATTCTGATTCGCTCTGAAAAGAGACACGCGGGAATTATCTTGAACATTGGACTTTTGAAAGTTGATCTGTTTACCTTCTGTTGTACTTATGTCAACAGGAAGCATTTCTTGGGTTCTGATTCGTCGTTTTTGTGATTAACCAGGAATCAAAAMCACGATAGCAAACAATCTCGGTCTCTTTCTTTCCAAGTCTCGGACGAGTTAACAGCAAGAGTTTAGAAAATAAGTTTGTTTTCAATATAGCGTTTCTAAATAGGAAAAGCTAACTACAGAAGATGTTCTAGAGTACTAGTTTCCTATTACAGGATCGAACCTCAAGTCTTCAGTGACGCATCTAAACTAAGGTAAATAACGTTAGAACCATTCCTGATBAGTGAATACAATGTATATCAGAAGAATTCATGTGTTGTTCATGGTCTCCCCATCATTGATGGTCATGACTGTTTCAAAAGAGGTTAAACTATATAATTTTGCTACAGGAAACCAAGATGACGGAGAGAACCTCGTTGGCTTCGAGATGCTTGATAGCAACGAATGGCCCTCACGAATGATTCCGGTTCTCAAGACGCAAAAGAAGTTCATTTRTGTATGGCCGGAGCCGAGTCACTGATAAGGTAATAAGCTTATATTATAGTGTTAATACTTTAGAATAACGTCGCTACTCATCTAGAAAAATGCCTTGGCAATATTGCATATTATCACGAATGTTTCGGACCGATCTGAGTGGTCTTTTCCGCGCCTTTTTGGCAAGTCACATGTGCAACTCATTGGCCGGCAATGCTTATGTTTATGTGTACAGCGTGCTTATACAAGGGACTTTGTTCGTATTTTATTGAAGCCAATGAACTTACATGCATGATGACCAGTCATAAGTGCCCAGTTTACTGACCCTGAATTTTGTTCTTCACAAACCTTTGTGTGCTATAATGCACTCGCACACAAGATTAGATATTTCAAATCAGKAGCCGTTGTTATATCAAGGCAAACTGTTGCTTRCATACTGTAGTAACACTTGCCTTATGGTATATGCCAAGTTGAGGCTGTTCCTTTGGGCAGCCTTACTAGGTGCTCATTTCTGATTCTTGAAATTCTTTGACAGTGTGTTGAATGCAGAATAGAAACCAAAGTTTGACCTACGAACCCTRAAAAKTAATCGTTTGCAGAGGCAGCTGGCAAATAAATTCAGTGGCTTTGATACTTATTTACCTATAAGACGCCAACACTGATACGGGTTTTGTATTAYATATTACTAGTTTTCTTCTAATCATGTCAGCACTTTTGTTTTGGCGCATTAGCATTTGGTAACATAAGAGTTGATGTAGAAAACTAAAGATTTTTTATATTGAATAACATAAAAACATGCCATTCCCTGTAAAACAAAACTGCCGAGGTACACCAGAAAAGGAATTATACGAAAAAAGAAAGGTTAATAACTGTATGTGGAAATGAAAAAAGTTATTACATTTCTCCAACGATTTGCAGCATMATGGTGGTATAGAAACTTATTTGTCGAAAATAATAAAATAAACCTTAAACCCGATGAATCCAGCCACACCTCTAAAGGCGAATGATTTTCTTTAACATCAGCTATACAATATTTGCAGGATAAAGAGAATGCTGCAGGATACATAAATCTAATCAACGTCACCCCGGCATTATCAAATGAAACTGTTGTAGATGTTCAATCAATATGCTTGCCTGGCAGCTGAAGGCTTAGTTGTCTGGAATTGC